CCCCCCCCCCCCCCCTGCTGGCACAGCGGCTGTTTCCAGTGATAACAGAGGAGAGATCAGCATTTGCCAAATGCTGAACTCTCCTCCTCTCTCTAAAGGTGCCTTTAGCTGTCCTTTCTCTGGCTGCCATAGCCAGAGAAGAAGCTGGTGAAGCAGATCTCTGCTTTATCAGCTTTGGGGTCCCCAGGTGACCCCCTAATGTCTCCATAAAAAGTACCTGTCATTACCTTGTTAGCCCCCTATGTGATAGTAAAAAAGTTAACTGTAAAAATCAAAAAGAAAATATATATAAAAAAAGTAAAAATGCACAAAAAATATTCAAGTCCCCCGACCCCGCATGCACCCACATATAAACGTAAATACGTGTTGGATGCACCTACGGGCATAACAACGGCAAAACAAAGATTACGCCACACATGTTACATGTCACCGCAAATGTCAGAGTGCGAGCAATAATTCTAGGGCCATCAATCACTGATAACACTAACATGATGAGCGGTTAAAGCCTTTAAAGTGTCACCTATGGCCAATTTTAGGTATTGTAGTTTTTTTGCGATTTCGCAATTTACCTGAATTGAATACAGTAAAAAGCTGTTGTGCGCATCAGGCCGATGACATTAAATTGTGTTGTAAATAACCCCAGGTGTATAGGTTAATCCTCCTTTTAGCAGCAGTAACATGGAGGCCTGGATTTCATTGACGGGTATTTGGGTTACTAATGCAGCTGTTTAAAGTGTTTGATTTGGCCGGAGAACAGAAACAGCACTACATACCAATTTCATGAGCGACGGTGAAAGCTGCGTGGAGGCCGTCATCTTCAATTACCGCACAGCTGCGCTCCGGCGAGCATACAGTCCCCACGTCTGCCATTCCCAGGGTATCACATGAATGGTGCCCACATAAATCCTAGCCGGGAGAGAAGAAAAAAAAGGGGAAAAAACTAAGTCAGGCAGATGTTGTGTACATACACCGACGAGGAGGAACAACATGCTGTCAGCCACTTGCACAGAGGAATCTGCTGGCTCTTGGATGCCAGGCTGGCAGGAGAGTCGGGGATTACACACATCACCTGTCTATGTGAAAACACTTCCTTGCCAAGTGAAGTTCAGATTTCCTTGTTATTCTGAATGGAGCTCAATGAAAAGTAACTGCAAGTGAACTCTGTTGATCAGTTCACTAGACACAACTTGAGTGTCTGAGATATTTATAAAATAAAGGCTGGAGTTTTGTTTCACCTTTTTTCGCTTTTGTATGTAGTTTTTCCTCCTGACATCATACAGTAATTGCATTTAAAGTCTAAATCAGCCAAATACATACCAGGTGCATAAAAATAATCGTACATCTTGTCTTCTTTTGGAAGCAGCAGCACCTGAGTAGAAAAGCCTGTCCCCTACCCAGCAGGCTGCATAGAAGGTCTCTTGCTGCCTGTGTGGAATCAGTGGTCTCTCTGCCGAGGTCCAACACACCTCTAGCTGTGTCAGAGCCAAAGCTCTCCAATTGGCAAGGAGCGTGAGGTCTGCTGATTGCAGAGGGTGTGTTGGACCTCTGCAGAGAGACCACTGCTTCCATAAAGAGAGCCTTTCCTGCAGCAAGCAGGCTTTTCTGCTCAGGCTGTGACTGCCTTCTGAAGAAAATGGCTGTAAGGCTTGTTTTGATATACCTGGAATTAAGTTAGCTTGTTTCAAATGAAGGTTTAGTTTAAGAGTTCCTGTAGGCAAGCAAAAAACAACATGTAGTAACATATTGTATGTGCAATAAGAATGTACACACTGTAAATGGTTGTGTAATAGGTTAGTGGTACATACATACATACATACATACATACATACATACATACAGGTAATACATTAATAGATAAAATAATAGCTATACATCTGTATATGATTTTTTTCTGATTCAATAAATGTTTTCGCTTTTAAACTTGTGTGGGGATATACAAAAGGACAAAGCTGTACAGATCACATGCATGACAAAAGTAGTCAAACTCTTCAACAATCGAGTGGAATTAGAAAAACAACCTAATTAGCATCTGTAGAGAATTTCATACATAGGGCTCGAAAAATGCACTCGTCCACTCGTCTGTGACGAGTGGACGCCAGTGCTGGACGAGTAGCTTCCCGACCGGCTGTTGTAATTAAACGGCAGGCCGGGAGCTTTACATTCATTTTAACTCCTTTACGCCGCCCGCGGCGAACCGAGGAGCAGGAGAGCTGCCGCCGGCCAGTGGACTGCATTACCCAGCAGTCACCCTGGCGCAACGGAGGTGTGGCCGTGAGGAGACGGAAGGGGCTTCCGACGTCCAGAGAACACAGGTCATGCTGACTGGTGAAATTTTTGACTGACTGGTGAGACACCGTCAAATTTTTCAAGCCCTGTTCATACATATATTACAGTATCAAAATAAATCCCAAGTGGTATTATATTGCAATTTATGGACATTGGTAATTATCTGTTGAGCTATTCAAGAGGGTATACTGTGCTGTGTATTTATAGACAAGAGGATATACTGTGCTGTGTATTTATAGACAAGAGGATATACTGTGGGGTGTATTTATAGACAAGAGGGTATACTGTGCTGTGTATTTACAGACAAGAGGGTATACTGTGCTGTGTATTTACAGACAAGAGGGTATACTGTGCTGTGTATTTACAGACAAGATGATATACTGTGCTGTGTATTTACAGACAAGAAGATATACTGTGCTGTGTATTTACAGACAAGAGGATATACTGTGCTGTGTATTTACAGACAAGATGATATACTGTGGGGTGTATTTATAGACAAGAGGATATACTGTGCAGTGTATTTTTTTTATATCCAGTATATCCGGGTTATATATATATATATATATATAACATTTGTTTTCTTCCCATTCACACAGCACAGATGTACCTGCAATTTTGCAGGACAAAGGAGTGAATTGTTTATAAATACACTCCTTTGTATTGCATCTGTGGATATAAACCTAATCACAAAAATCTGATATTAGCCTTAAAATATGAAAAACATTTCAATTGTCGTCAATATTTGAATATCTGCAGCTTCAATAAAAATAATACCTGCCATATAGGTCCTTGTTCAGACACTTCCAGTAAAGAGTGACAATGCTCTGTCCCTGTCTCCCAGTTGTTCTCCTGCTTTGTCACCCGGTGATGTGGACGTTTCTGATTAATACTACAAGTGGGTATTTTAAAGGCAGGCATGGTTCGAAGTTGTCACTATCAGGAGACCCACCATGAGAAAAGCCATACAGTCAACACTGCAATGAGTGTAGACAGGATGCAGAAGCAAAGAGGCCACAGGAGATCAGCAACACTGGAATGCAACACAGGATGAAAAACGGAAAAGCAGTATGTATTTTATTTAATAAGAATAGCTTGTTGTTCATACACAATACTTTAGAGAACTAAATCTCATATATTTAGGGTTTACGTGTGCTTTAACTGTGTGCATTTAAGCACTTCAGGTGGGAGGCCGTTTTAAAACATCCGCCCTCTGAAGTGGTTATACCAAAAACATGGCTGCAGATGCAGCCATGTTCTTGGCACCGTTGTAAACAGCCGGCAATGGCTGATCAGGAACAAGCGATCCGCCAGATCCGCTGTAGAGCCGCTGGATCGTTTGTACCAAGCGGCGGAGTGTGACCTCCCACCCCCCTCGGCTGCTGTAGTCTACCCCAGGCTCCACTGCATTGACCGGAGCGTGATCAGCAATCTTCTAGCCACTGATCTCTCCTCCGATCACTGGACCCGGAAGTGATGTTTATTACATTACTTCCGGTTTCACTGTTTACATTCTACAGCTCCTAGATCTCTGCTTCCTCAGCTACTTTGAGGTCCCTAGGTGACATTAGGGGTCTGAAACGTTGGGCGGGCCAATGTGTGCAAACGAAAATTGCATCACACATGTTAATTATTGCTGCGAACGCCAGAGTAAGAGTAATAATTCTGGAGCCATCAATCGCTGTTAACACTAAACTGATGAGCAGTAAAAGTTTTTAAAAGCGTCGCATATGGGACATTTTTGTGTATTGCAGTTTTTTGCATTTTCACGAGCTCACACAATTTTAAGGCTTGACATCAATGGTATCAATTTACCTGACATGACCCAATCTTTTATATTTTACCAAAAAATTGGGTATTATATTCTGTTTCTGTGCACTAAATTTAATTTGTGTATTTTATGCTGAAAATACTGGTTAAAACATTTGCGCAAATACCGTGCGACATAAAAAATTGCAACTAGCATTTTTTTTATTCTACAGGGCCTCTGCTTTTAGAAAATACATAATTGTTTGGGGGTTTAAGCTGTTTTCTAGCCAAAAATTCAGATGTTATCATGTGTGTGCAAATAGTAGGGAATTGCTCCGGACAGCAAGTAGTTAAAGTAGATGAAAGGCCTAATCCAGGGCAGGGGTAGACAAATGAATATGGAATTTAGGAGCCAGTCTGTACAATACAGGAGCCATCTCCATTGATAACAACAAGAGAAAACCGAAAAATTAGGTGTCGGCTGTAACTTTTAAGGAGCATTGGCTACCTGGCTCCTGGGATTCGTTAAGCACTGATCTAATAAATATTTTGTTTGCTAAAGCACTGTGTATCCATCAACAACTGCCATTTCTTTTTTGTATTTAATACAGTTTTCACCGTTGTTGTATAGCAGCACTGTAGCCTCTTTGCTAGCCCGAATTTATCCAAAATTAAAAAAAAGGTTTTTGTTGGAGTTGAGCTTTAAATCAAAAAGCTATACAAGTCCCCTAGTGGCATTTTCTGGACCTTTTGGGATGGGTCAGGTTGGAGGGTCTATAGAAGGAGAGCTGACGGTGTGAAAGAGGGAACGTTGTGCGGAAATCTCCCATCTGCACTCCCAAGAAATTCAAAGCCAGTAGTTTATTTGGTTCATTGGTGATCACCCATACCTGAAATGTCCCTTTTCAACTGATCCTTTCTGATATACAGGTGTCAACATACAATGCTCACTTCTGGTCTTTCAAAGGTGACGTCTGCATGGAAGAGATACTTAAAATGACTTAATTCTACAGGAATATTACCAGGAATGACCCTTCGGTATAACCACATTCTCCTTTTAAGAAGCAATTAGATAGATGGTGGCTATACAATCTTCTCAGGGTCATCAGCAGCTGATGTCAGTATGTGATGGAACTTGAGAAGATATTTTCATTTCAGTGTAAATGCGGATGAGCATTCCTGAACAGGATTTTGTTCCCTCCATTTGATCAATCTAGGCCACGCTTCCTTTGATTTCTTACTACAGACCTGAGCTAAACCTAAAATAATAATCTGATAGGGGAAGAGGAAAAGTATGCAAGACTGAAAGGTGAATTTGGGTGAGGATATTATTATAACCAGACAAATGTTCTCAGCTGCTCACAGAATGATGGGCTTTTTAGGAAAAAATAGTAATGTTTGTGGTTTGTGCTTCCTTTAACTCAATTCCAGTTTATGAACTTCATTGGGAACCACCGTTGACACAACTTGACAGTAATCAGTGATGAATCACAGAAGGAAAGGTATTTAAAGGTATGAGGCCATAGGAGAACAGAATACAGGAGTTTGATTTGATTTAAGGGGACATTGTTGGTTGCATTCATTCCTAAATTGAATCTGAAGATTTAGTAAAATAGCTGGAGTAGATACATTCCTTCATTTCAGTCATTGTCTGCAGTTACATACAGATGAAGACAAGCTGAAGGTCAGCAATGCAATGTGGCAAAGTGTGGAGTAGAAGAATCACTGCTGCAAAGAAGATGTGGAAGAGGAAGGAGGGCAACCTCTGCTACTGAAGGCAAGTAAAGAAGCGTAAAGATTTCTATCCATAGTAGGCAGCCCCTTTGTCCATTTTCTTTTTCTAGGCTAACTTGGGTGTTGCTCTCAGTACCCTG